GCATAAATCAACTGGAAAAGGCAGCGTTTTTTTTTTTAATTTTCAAAAGCTGAGTTTGGTTTCCGTATCTTTTTGTCGAATTTGCCACCTTTTTAGGACATAGAGAAAAATGGACCTAGGGGTCTGGAGCTCAATTTTAAAGAGAAAATCACTGGCGAAAACAGACTTCTTTCTTAAAGTACTTTTTTATGTATCACAATACACAGTTTGTATACAGGGTGTTTGCTTTTTTTATACGACCCTAAACTGCATTTTTTATATGAACTAACCTATACAAAAATTCCTAAATGTTGATGATGATCGAGATGCATTCTACATAAAAAAGTGCTCTAAGAAAGATGTTAGCAGAACAGAATGAACTCGAGAATGAATTATCTTTAATAATAAGAAAGTTATGGAGTATTAAAGAAATTGACTAAATTCGAGAAACGTCCTCTAGCGACCAAATGATTAGAGACATCTGATTTCTGTTTGCGCCAGTGATTCTCTCTTTAGAATTAATTTTTCTAAAAAAGTGAGAGTGAGAGTTAATTCAAATATCAGATGGCATTATATGGCAACCGAAAGCGAGTAGCTCTGCAGCACAATAAATTGCACCGTGCGCGTGCGTTCTGTACGATAAAAAATATTTTTCATCCTCAATGTGGGGGCCCAAACATTGTTTTCTTTTTTGTCCTCCAAATTTCAGACCACTGCGACTTTTTTTCGCAAAAGTAAAAAACGAAAAAAACAATTTTTCGCGGAATATTTGAGGTTATGTAAAAAAAAGTACCGAAATAGAAAAGTTGTTCACTTTTTTATTCCCAACTTTTGTTTCGAACATTTTCGCGTAAAATTAATAGTTTTGCCACAAATTAGCAAACATCCCTTTCAACCCACGGGATTTTGTTTTGATTACACAAAATACAAAAAACCAGGTTTGGATCGGGAACTCATTTTTTTTGGGAATAATTAGTACCCACAAGCATTTTTTTCGATTTTTTTGTTAACAATTTTTGTCCATTTCACATTTCTTTATTAGACAGTCCACCAATCGCACCTTAATCGAATTGGTTTGTTACATTTTTGGGATATAAGCTCGGTTTCAGCGGTTGCGTCACCTCGCTGAAATACTTGATGGGCCATTACGTCTGCTCGTCTTGTAGGGTTTCATCCATGAATATTAGATCTCGTATTAGATAATGTATAATATTCATTACGCTTTCATTTTACTGCTAAAGGTCCTTGTCTCAGACCTTGCAGATGAGGTCGCTGGAGATCATGTGCCAAATTTGGTGTTGATAGCCCTATAGGTAACAGACAGACAGACAGACAAACATTGCCATTTATAGAGATTAATTTCAAATTTGACACCAGTGAGGTGCCACACACGTTAGTTGTTAGCTTATTTGAGTGTGACTTTTTCTTACATTTTATGAATGTACAGTTTGTTGATTTAATTCACAATATTATGCATTATTTGTTATCGAAAGTCATTTATATACACAGGCCCTGGGCTACAGTCAAAAACTCTGATTTTTGGGCGCTAAGGGCCACATAATTTACTTTATTGCAATAAATGGTCAGGTTAAAGCTCAAAATTTGACTGACAACATACTTAATGGAAATTTCTGTGATAAAGTGCATGTAATATTTTGACAAAACATAAATTGAAAAATAATTGTGCAACAAAAAATATAAAACAATGATATACTTATCAATACTACTTTCCAATGGATTCACCAATAAAAATGATTTAACGAGAATAAATAGTCTGGGAGTATTTTTGTTAAAAAAAAGAGGATAATTTAGAGTGTCATTTAAATATTATAACAATAAAACGGTTTAAAAAAAAGAATACTCACCAAGCACAAATTCCCATTGTTCACAGCCCAAGGAACGTTCGGGAACGATCTCTAAATTCAGCATGTTTTTGCTTTAGATCGAAACTGGAGTTTCAAAAGTACGAAAACAAAAATCACAGTTAACTTTATGAACAATTTGTTCGAATTACGACGCACTCTTTGTTTGAGTTGAGCTCACGACGCCATACTAAAAATACAACTGTCACACAGTAACAGCTGATTCGACAGCGGCGCCACCTTTCTGTCACGGATAATTAAGGGTCAAATTCCCGCACGCATTTCACAATAAAAACAAACAGCTAAATATTTTGATTTTTTCGAATTTAATGGGCCGTATTCGATGGAGGCGCCATGCAATTACCGTCCGGATAGCGTTTCTTAAAGTTTTCTATTAAAAGCGGATCGACAAGCCGTATTCCGTCAACTTGATTACCGAGGGTAATCCAATTCGGCTGAATATTGTGCGGCCTTCCGAACAACTCGATCTTTCGGGTACCGGGCGAGAGACGTTCGATCATGCCGTAAATCTCGTCCGGCTTGTGACTCGTCGCGCGCACCTCCGCGACAATCACGTCCGAATCTAAGCCACGATTCAAATTCTGCGGACTGCCCTTCATCCCGACCAAGCAGTGCTCCTTACCGTGATTCAACCAGTGTCCGGTACGGCCCGTGCGGATAATCCTTTGCAACTGATTGGTTTTCACCCAGATTATTTCGTCGACACGTTCGTAGCCCCACAATTTTAAACACTCGCGTCCCAACTCCATCGCACGACCGGTCACCCACAAGAAGATTAAACCGTCGTCTTGCAGTTGAGGTATGCCCAGCTGTCGCATTTCGTCGTCGGACATTGTTCCGTATGGAAGCTCCATGTGAATGTCCCAGGGAGGGTCGGCCATGATCACTGCGAACTTACCTAAAAATGTAAAACTAAGAAGGGATTTTTAATGTAAATGCATTTTTTATAGCATTTATTTATAACAAACCTAAAGCGGTCATATCCAAATATCGCAAATCACACTGCACCCACTGAGGCGGGTATAAAGTTGTACTTTCCGTGCTCGATAACGTACGACTCTGTACAGTCGGTATAACATCCTTACTTTGACCAGCACGATCCACCTCGTAATGCACATACTTGCACGTATCCATATGGAAACAAGTGTTCAAAAATGAACAGTCCCCTAACGATTCATCCGTATGCTTCTGTATTATTTTCTTAAAGTGCAACTTTTTGCACTGCTTGTTGCTCGCGTTCCGTTGACATTCGGCCTTCGTTCCATGCGGGCAAAACTCCATTACTTGGGCACCCCCTTGTGAACGAAAGCGTTCGGCCAACGACCGTTCTTTCGCGGTCGGTTTACTCAACAAATCTAGAATCTCCTCGCCTACTTTTTTACTTTCCTTCTCCTTAGTCGACGGCATAGCCAGCAGAGACTAAAATACAAATATAAATATTTGTCCAAATTTACAATGGAAATTACAAATATATCGGTAGTTTTCGAATCTTTTTTCTCCTTCTTTCGTTTTTCTTCGTCTTCATCGTCCTTGGCAGGGGACACATCGCGCTTACGTTTCGGATTTTCCTCCTTTTCACTTACAACCTTCAATTCACCCGTGGCTTCGTTTACGACGGCATTTAACTTACTGTGTTCGACAAAGACCACTTCCAAAACACTTTTACCGTCCTTCACGACATCTTTGAGATGAATCAGTTTTTGAGTTTCAAACTTTTGAAGTAAATTTGAAATCGCTTCGTGAGAAACGTAACGATCCAAGCTGGTTTTCAAGGTGCCGACTAGGTCGGTGGAAGTGATCGGAATTTGTAGGGTCACCTCGTTTAGGGTTTTTAACAGCTCCTTCTCAAGTTCCGGGTTGACTTTCAGTAAGTCGTCAGAGACCGCCGCTTCTGCTTTTGACTTCGTCTCATCTTTGAGTGCACCGACGGGACTGGGTGCGCCTCCTACTGAGTTTTCCAAGCAGTTTACAGGGGAGGACGTCCCCAAACTGCTGCCTAGTATATCCTGTCTTTCTTTTTTACGTTTTTCCAGTCGTTCTCGCAAACTGTTTCGTTTGCTTTTAATTGCTTGGATTTCTTCCCAAGCGTCCGACATTTTCGAGCGATGGAAGTAATTTGCCTATGTGGAAAGATGGATATTAGCTCAGTTTCGGCATGTTTTTGATAAAAAGTGTTGTACACAAACACATGTATACAAAAGTCAACTACAAAAAAACTCAAATTTGACATTTAGCTTGTCTCAGGTAATTGTATACAGAGTATTACAAATTTACTTGACATAAAAAGCCAAAAGGGGTCTTTTACCTTGAATATGGCGAAAACTTTAACAAAAGTTGATGTGTGATACTTGTTTATTTTAAACAAAGGTGAGGGATACCTAGAAGTGCAAAAACGCAAATTTGAAAACGGTCTGTAACGAATCGTTCGTCGGTATAGTACACACTCGATGTATAAAGTAATGTTGAGGTGTAGTAGACACCGATCAAAAGTCAAAGTTTCTAACCTAAAACACATTTTAAATTCCCATAATTTGAATTGTTAAAAATGTCGAGAGTACAAGTGTTAGCTTTATACAAATCGCTCATAAAGGAATCACAAAAATTTGATTCCTACAATTATCGGTAAGTACTTTTCCTAATATAAAAAAATGCCATTTCCTTCCACTGCTCTGGTCGCAGAAACTATGCCTTAAGAAAAATAAGGGATTGCTTTAGAGAAAACATGAACTTGACTGATAATGCAAAAATCAAGGAAGAGATTTTGGGCGGGCAAAAGAATTTGGAAATTATTAGGCGACAAGTAAGTAAATCGGCGAAACCGCGGCAACCTTTTATCGTGATGAACTTCATCTAATTAACATTGTTTTTAGGTATTTGTGGGGAATTTGTATAAAACGGACAAACTGGTTATAGAGATGATGAAGTGAAAGTATATTTTGGTTGTAATTTGTCATTTAACTGTTATTTATAATACGCTTTTGTTATTTTGAGAAGTAAAACAGTACATAGTAGGCACACCAGGTTTTTTAGTTCATCCTAGGAATGTTGTAATACCTAAATACCCCCCCCCCCCAATTTCCTTAAATTACTTGCTTTAGAAACAAATAAAAAATTGTTTGGAAATTTCCTAGGAAATATTAAACTGAAATGTCATCGCACTTGTCTTTGGAGGGGTGCATTCTGGCTGTTGACTGGGTCATTTATCAAAAAATGATTTTAATTTTATTTTCATTGTGTTTCAAAGCACGCAGAACAGTTGTCGTACAAACATTACTTCAATATCAAAAGAAACAGTGTATAGAATCTTTGTTATATTGAAATGTTTAAGAAAAAATGAATTATGTTATTACAAAGATCATGTTTGGTATAATTAAATTAAACCAATGTTATTTCATCTGTGTATGCGCTTTGAAGTCTAATGAGATTGTTGGTGTGCAGTGGTCATCAAGCAAAATGATGTGGAGGGGCACCACTGATTTTGATTATGTTCACTGTTGAATTAAAGTGTACCATATTGCCGGCCAGCTTGGTGTAGTGTTACATGCCTATCCGCAAGTAAGAGGGTCCCCTGTTCAAACCTAGAAGTATACAGTATTTTTTATTAAGCAGTAGACATAGGGATTTACGTATATTGTTTTTCCCTATGTCTACTTTTAAATGATAAAATCTCTTCTGAAGGACGCCTAGTTTATGCAACTAGAATAACTTCAACTGAAGGAAGCGTTAATATTGTTAATTGGTATTGGGACAGTAGCAATTTAAGAAGCGTAAGGGATGTGAACCCAAAGTATAAACAATATGCAAATTAATTAATAATGACAGCCAGGTATTTGTTTTAAGAAGTTATTTTGGTTGCATAAAATTAGGCGCTCTTCAGAAGTGATTTTGTCATTTAAAAGTAGATATAAGGGAAAAGCAATGCACGTAAATCTGTCTACTTCTTAATAAAGAGCACTGTATAATGGTTGAGCAGCCTTAAAAAACCAGACAATTCATTGGATATCCCCAAATTTTTATATTACACCTACACTGTACCACAATTACAATTGTACCCTGCCACCATTTAATATCACAAACATAACGGAAGACAATTAAGTTAAGACTACTTTGTGCTTAAAAAACTTTCAAGATCCTGTTGGTCCAAGTCCAGCTGAATTTCCTCCAATAAGGCACTGCTTTGACTATTGGTTTCAATTTCTAAAAAAAACTCATCAAGCAGAAACTGGGCAACATTTCGACTTACTAGGCATATTTCCTAAGCTTTTAAACGTCCGTAGATCGTCATTAAAGGCATCTTGGAAAACTTGCTGGCGTTCTTCCAACAGTTTCTTTTGTTTCAACTCGTATTCCGCCACTGTTTGAGTATGTTTCGCTGCCATTTCCGTTCTTACTTTTTCGAAATGTGCTACAACTCACTGTTAGCGACAGATCGGCTTGATAGGTTGCCAACTTACCCATCTTCTTTTCTTTGTATAACGCCAACTGGTACTTATGCTCGACTTTACGTCTCTCCAATTCTATTCGTTCAATTAAATCCTCCAAATCCAAGATACCTTTCTCGACGTTCTGGAAACTGGTGTGTAAATGTTTGATTTGTTCGCAACACGTTTCCATACTCTTATTAATTGTCGGTGTCGCGTTAAGTAGGTGCGTTATTTCGACAACGTTCGTGTAGTCGACACTGGTTTTGGTGTGTAATAAGTTGATCTCTGCGGCGAGCTTGGCCGCACTGCTCGCATTTTCTTCGTTTAAACTGTGGATGTCTGCCCATTGATCTTGATAATGGGTGAGAATGTCTGCGCCGGCATTTAATGTATTTACGGGGCTTTTTGTAGGTCCTTCCTCATTTGTGGGGCTTAACAAACCAATTTTACTTACGTTAAGCAGTTTTCCTTTTAACGTTGTTAACATTGCTACTGGTGGTGGTCTAAAAATGAAATTTGTTTACGTTTGCTTTGACTTTTTGGGGTTAGGGTTAGTTGAAGGGGAGGAGTTGCAGGGTGCTTTTGCGTAACTGTTATAAAATCACGTTGCCATACCGTTATAAAATAACAGGTCGCGAATTGTTTACATTTTCGAAACTTGAAGCCTTCATCGGGGAATACAAATTATAATTTTGGGGGCATATTTGAATAACGACCTTCATTTTTGAAAATCTCGTCTTCCAAATGGATATCTCAAGATTTTTTTGAAAAAATAGATTTTCGAATCGAATTAATTTCATTAGAAACTCTTTTCAATTCTAGAAATGTAGAAAGCTCGCAAGCAACTTTGAAATCAGGGGAGAGGGGGGCGTTAGAAAATTACAAAAATTATAATTATAAGTTTATTTTTATTACTTCTAGAATTTGCTGTAGTTTCTTACTTGGGGTAATTTATGCCAAAATTCTGGAGGAAATGTAAGGACATTTTTGAAACGAAGAATGTTGTGGGAAACGGTGAAAATAAAGAAGATTCTGAATAATTTCATGTTGGCGGAAATTTTGGGGAATAGAGGTCAATTTTTAAAGAAATACTGTAAAGAAATTGAATAATCCAAGGTAGCATGCGAAGCTCGAAAAAGTTGAGGAAATTTTGCATGAAATAAAGGTTATTTTTGGGGAATGAGAAAATTTTGGAGGATGAATGAATTTATGGGAAATGGAACTATGTTCTACTATTCGCCCCTAAAAATGATCAACACGCCACAAAAACTAAATTTATTTATTTTGCCCAAATTACACGAGACACTAAATTTACTGGGTTCGTAAACACACGTGTCATAATTTAAGAACAATTGCAAAATTAAACCAGCTATATCTTTGTCGAAAACTGTAAACTAAATTTAACCGACAACGGAGTGAAAACATTTCAAATTCGGGAGGTAAAGTCAAGTTTTTGAAAACATTTTTGAAGTGAACGAAGCGTTTCACCGGAAAACGACGTGTTTATTTAATATCAATGATTGATAGCACGATTTTGTGCAAAATAATGATGCGAGAAGAGGGTATTTTTATTAGACCATCGTCTCCATTTAAGGGATGAATTCTGGCGCAGTACGGCGGGCAACTTTGATTCAAAAGGTTTACGCGTTGATCATGAAATGTCCCCTTTCAACGAGACCAACAATCGCGTCATAACAATCAAAACGTCATGTTTATGTCAAACTAAAATTTCTAATCTCGCGTAACTACATGGACGATATCAAATGCAGGTTTAAAGAATCGAAGAGCGTCGTAGAATTGCTGGCTAGTAATACCTGGAGTAACGTATCACAAAACTACCAACGCGCACATCAGGTATAAGAACTACTGTCATAAAATAATCATCGTGCAGCATTCACTCCTAGAAACTATTGGCCAAAGAAGAAATGTTACAGGATGACTTCCTTCACGAGGTTCGCACTCCGCTGAGAGTTCGGGATGTTATACCTGAGAGTAGGTTGGCTCAGTATTGCAACAGCGAGTACGGCGAATGGGAGGAGTGTTACAAAGATACCAGTAAATTAAGCATCTTCTGTTCGTGCGTGAACGATGACGAGTCAAGGCAAGAGCCGTGGATGCTGCCCGAAGTGGAGGAAGCATTTGTTTCGTTGGCGTACACGCCCTCTGTCGAAGAAATTGAGTTGGTGCAATTTCAAAAATCTCACAAATGCAAACTTCCGGATAACTTCCGAAAGTTTCCCTTCTACGCGTCTTTTTCCGAAGCCGAAGACGCATCTGCACGTGAAGAGTTGATGGAGCATAAACCGGTAGAGCTAACGGTGGAGACGTTCGAAGAGATGATTCTTCGTCTCAAAATACGGTGCGATGCAGTGAAGCATTTGTGGTCGCGTTATTCGCAGGCAAAAAGCGAAGATGAAATCGAGGAGAAGCAAATTTTAAAGTCGCGGTTCGGAAATACATTCGCCGTAGAGAAAAAGAACGATCACGAGGTGAGTCCGGATTGGATTTTGGACAAGTGCCATATTAGAAGAATGGATTTTAGTAACCTGCAGTATTTGAGCGATACCATTAGAGCTTTAAAGGGGCACTATTTCCATCTTGAAAAATTCTCGCGGGTGTCGGAGACGGACGTGAAGGATACAACTCCGACTACCCGTCGGTTGTATTCTGATGTTCTGCGTGAAAATCACCATGAGTGTCTTGCTCCTTTGGTGGAAGAACCACTGTATTCTCAAGCAAAACGTTCATGCATGGAAGAACCCTTGTCTTCCGATTTTTTTATGGAACCGCCTCCAACGTGTTCCACCGGTATCTATACGAATTATTATGAAAATGTCACCGCTTCAAAAAATTGCTCGTACGAAAACACATACTGTGCGCATACTTATGGTAACGTTTACTGTCACAATTCACAAAACACCAACCTGCATAACAGTTATATGCACAAGGAGCTCGTCTACTCAAATTTTTACCAGCATTCCTCTTTGAGCCGACAGTCTTATACGCCAACGTGGTTCGCACCCACCCGAAACCCTCCAGTTTTCGCCTCGCCCCCATTACCTTATTTAACTGCACAGCCATCAAGATCGAACCAACCCTATCCAATGTTTTACTTGCGAACGCCCAACGTGCAAACCTACCACTACTCCCAAAATCCACAACAGTGGGCGACGAGTTCCACTCAGCAGTTTTCCTCCGACCCCCAATGCGTCGGAAATTATGGCAAAGTTAAGACGAAATCGGTTCCCGACGCAATGAAACGTCACGCGAGTTACGAGTTTACGTCCCAAGACAAAAGGCTTACCGTCAAGCCTGCATTATCGACGTCATCTTTAGAACATCGAGGTGACTCGAATCGAGTATTGCCCGTTTCGAGCAGCCTTTCGGAGGATCTTGAGAGGCAGGCGTTGGAGCAGTATCAAAACTCGAACGAGAATTTATATCGGGAACTGGAAAAGCAAGCGGAGGAGCAATACGACCATGATGATCCAATGGAAAACGATTTGCGATCGCCTTATTTAAATCGGTATCGTGTCAGACGATGAAATAATGTGCGTTTTTTTGTTCTTTCGTGTTTAACAAAATACAAATCTTTGAATGTTAGGCAAGCCTTTAAACACGCTCGTGTATTGTTGGTTGCGGATCGCCTGAATTTTAAGCTTAGAATCTCTAGACTCGAATGCAATGTCGGAGGATCTCGAAAGGCAGGCGTTGGAGCAATATCAAAACTCTTGACGAGAATTTATATCGGGATTTGAGTATCGTGTCAGACGATGAAATCATTTGTGCTTTTCTGGTTTATAAATTCTTCGAATGTTATGCAAGCATTCAAACACGCTCGTGTATTGTTGGTTGCGGATCGCCAGGGATTGCATCCAAATTTTAGCGTAGAATACATCCGCGGGATGTGTATTTTCTGTAGCATGATATACATTACCAATTCCATTGAATAAGTACTTATTTCAATGACATTACCTACATGCCCAATTATCAATTATTGTTTTTTTATATATAATTCATTTTTTTTTTATTTTTCAATTTAAACAAAAAGAGAAAATCGTACCAATATCTAAAGGCATATTTAACCTTTTAACGCTCGAAAAGACTTAAAGACTTCAAAGGAATGATTTTGCAACAAACAAAAAAACTTTAATACGCATTTCTACAGCAAATATGTCGTCATCCATGAACTGCTATCGACGACATTCAGCTGTTTCCTGGATTTGCTGTCAAAACAACGCATTTGGATTAAAGTGTTTTTCGTTTGTTTTTGACATTGCAATTTGTAACGCCACTGCAATTTACAATGGCTAGGTACCCATTTATCGTCGATACTAAAAATGTTTCAAACGAAAATTAGAATGTGTTTGCGCAAATATACACATTTTTCGAGCAATTGTTTCTCATTTGAAGAATAAAGAACCACTTTCTATGAATGCGGGGGTATGGCGTACCACCACTTTTTATAAATAATTAATAAAACGTACCCCCACATATATCGTGAAACAAAAACGTACCCCAAAGGATTTGATGATTGTTGACCAAACATAAAAATTAAATTTGAGAATTTTTTCCCAAAAAACAAAGGTATCTAGGGATGTACCTAACGAGCGATCAAAAATAAGTTGCTGTCGAGTCGCCTTTGGAAGTTCAAGTTTAGTACGATTTCCCATGTAAACAAAAATTCCAAAGGTCACACGACAGCAACTTATTTTTGATCGCATAGTACTTACTACCTGAAAATAAGACAGATCCCAAAACGACGTTTGTTGGCAGTTTTGACATTTCTAGAGAATGATCACTTCCAAACGTACATGATCTGTTCTAATTTTTTTCATTGTGCACGGGTATATCATACCACGAAATTATCGTTATGACCTAATTTTCAGGGATTGTATCGTATTTCGTTCAACAATCTCGTACATTGAAAAGCCGTGGTAAAGTGTAGTGTAGCCTAGAATGGCTCAGAATCAGTGGAACGGTCCATATCAATGATTGATATTGAATAAACACCGCGTTTTCCAGTGAAACTCTCGTCCTTTCCAAAAAACTTGTCCTTTACCTCCTGCTATTTTATTACAAAATCTTTCAAGAAACTGACACGCATCGTAAATAACGGCAGTACGTATCATAGCACATTTACATCAGTTAGTCATAAAACATACTGGGTTTCTAAGTTTAATTCTCGCCCCGTTGTGGGTTAAATTTAGTTTGTGTAGGGTTTAGGTTTAGGTGTTTGTAATTGTTTTTAAATTGTCACGTGTGTTTCCGAACCCAGTAAATTTTAGTCTCGTGTAATTTGAGCAAACCAAGTGGACGATTGTTTAGTTGTAGTCACAAATATTGTGGCCTTTTACAGTCATTTTTAGTGACGAATAGTGGAATTACAGTTCCATTTCCCATACTTTCGCCTTCCAAAAATGTCCCTATATTTCATTCACACACTAACTGGCATATGTGCATTTCTTTAAAAATTGACTTCCGTTTCTCAAAATTTCCGCCAACATTTTGTTGAAATTATTCAAAATCTTCCTATATTTCTTTACCGTTTCGATAAAATTTTTCGTTCGCAAAATATCCTTACATTTTCTCCAGAATTTTTGCCATCGTCGATTTTTAAACGAACCAATGGCATTCACTTAAAGCAAAAGCTTGCGTTTTGTTTTCTCAAATTCCACAGAATTTCCTCCCATTACGTAATATACAGGGTGAAAATGTCTAGAACACGGAATATTTCTTCAAAACTACAATTTTTGCAAAGACGATTTTTATGGTAGTACTTCGGTAGATAGAGAGAAGGACAGAGACGTCCCTTGTGGCCCTCTATCCATCTTATTTATGCTTCTCTCTGGCGGTCGAAGCGCGCGTTGCAGTATAAGTACCTATAGTTCAGTAATTTACAAACAACTCGTAAAATGATAAATCGCGTGTATAAAAAAAAGCATCAAATAGGGGATGGCTCTGTTCCGACGTGGTCTAACATTAATTTAACACGAAAAAGGGCTGGTGAAAATGCAAGTATTATTCAGTTTAAAGTCGATTATCATAAAGAGACCCATATACTGTAAACAGAAGAAAAGTGAATTAGAGCTCCCAATCATATAAGAACTACAGAATCAAGATTAGTTTATTACTCTACCGGATAAACGGTTAATCGAATCATACATAGCAACTTCACACTAGAAAATAATCGAAACAGATTTTTTTTAAAACAAGCAAATAAGCTGCTTATATAATTCTTTCAATTTCCACTACACAACATAAGAAAAACTAACCGTACGCGTGGAATTACTGTAAAGAAAACCAGAAAATTCCGATTACTTCCGAAGAACATTGTACATACTGTATTGAGTAGCATTTTTTATTACGAATATAACGATGTATGTCACCCAAAAAAATAACAAAAGTTGGAAACTGTCGGTTTCAACAGGATGGTACACTCGCACACAACGACTGAATCTTGCGACGTTCGGATAAATTTTCCATTTTCCAGGAAATTTGTTACATCTAATCTTGACCCGAAGATTATTCAAAAATCATCATTGTAACGTAAATTTAACGTAATCTATTTATATACACACAATATACACTTAATTATTAATGAATACAGCACTTCATTTATAACATGTACTTAGATTTATAATAATAATAATAATAATAATAATAATAAGACCTTTGTGCCTGCTTCTCAACCGCTTGTGGATGGGACCAGCGCAAAGGATACCTCCAAAAGACGTATGAAATGGGACGAAGGGATGAATCGCTTCATTTTCGGTACGTATCTGGAGACCACGAAGATGGAAACGGACAGGACAGCATACAGAGGTAAACTATATCACGCGTTCATTACACAATACCCACATTTAGCACACTTGACAGAACAACGCATTGCAGACCAACGTAGGGACCCTACATAACTTCACCAGACACAGACACAGACACTAATCGTTACTTGATTTTAATCCGTGCGATTAGTTAACCAGGCTAGACCTGAGTTCTCACAAGAAACACCGACCATAATAATAATAATATATATTTGTGTTTCTGCGTGGTTACACTTACACTCGTCAAAATTACATGTAAACAGATAAAACAAAAATACGGTTATTAAAAGTACAAACATGAGCATTACACTAAACTAAACTAAATTACGAACAATATCAATACCTAATTCACAGATTTACAACTGTTAACACACGAGCGCAAATGTCAGTATTTATCACCTCGGCGTCAATGTTGAAACTTCCACCAAACAAGTCAATCGGCTTGTATAGCGAACAAAAAAGACTAGAAATTTCTCAAACAAACAATATATGTATGGAAGTGTCTTTCGGCACTTTCCCTGTTTTTATTTATGTTATTTGTAGTGATTTTTTTATGGGGAATAAATTATATATTATTATTATATTTTCTAGAAAGAATGCGGGGACTAATTCTTTATCGACTTGATGGGGTCCTGAGGGTGCCCAATGTCGCTCTAGATTTCTGGAATACATATTCGGTACAATACTGTTTAAATTTCTTGAGTTCTTAGTGAACGTTTAAGAAAAGTATACAGAAATTACAGTATAAAAGTCGTAGATTGCTCTGGTTCTAAAAGTTTGCTGTTACTACTATACACTATACACTTTAGGGCTTAGTAAAATGCTGTTTTTAAAGATTCGGAAATTCCGATCAGTTCCGAAGATATTTGTAAAAAAAATCGAAATTAATCATATTCGTTTTTATTTTTTTTTTTCTGGCATCTACACTATATCAGAAGGCTTTTAGTAAAAATTTGAAGTCTCTAGCTATTGTAATTGCTGAGATCTCACCCGGACAGCCGGCCAGCCAGCCAATGGTCTTTTTCTTTTCAGTTAAAAAAAATGTGAATTTCAGAATGTGCCCTGATTGGTCCATAATTGGGAGATGAGTCAGAATTTTAAAATCTCCTGTTTCACAAATAACAGCCCACTTAAAATGATAGATAATACGAAAAAAACATGGTTGCTGTTGGACTGAGCCGTTATTTTTTTTTAATTACCAGAAATATGAAATGTGTACCTACTTTTGAACGGCAGTAAAATGGTTCAGTGGCATTTAAATTGCCGGTGGTGCGTTTTAAATACTCCCCAATTAAATTATAAGCAAACCGGTATTAACAGGATTAAATTATTTCCTGTTTGTGCGAGTTCAGAATCTCCCAGCGTGTACAAAAATGGGTACGTATAAAAATAAAAGGAAGTTTAATTAGCATAATTCCGCGATTAGTGGCGTTGAATAAATTAGTTTATTAATTAATCTAAATTGGGCCACTGCCGACGTCAAAATAGGAAAGTTAATTGTTACACAGCCGCCGTTGTAAATTGACCAAAATTGTCAAGGTTTAAAATGACTATCTGAACACAAAACAAACGCGCGTCACCTTGACGTTTTGTGTGAGAGCTGATATTTTATGTCGGCAATAAAATAGCGGCGGAATTTGAGAACGTGAAAAAACATAACGGCGATTAAAAAGTTGCCGATTTAAAATTACGATTAAAGTTATCGCCTCGTTTCTGCGTAGGCAATTGCCTTGAATTTAAATGAGTAAACTGGCTCTTTTCGCTTAGGTGAACATTATA